CTAGCTATCCCTTTCCCTTCCCTTCTGAAATCAATGGAAACGTATTTATAAAAAGATAATAAAATACGCAGCCATCTTTCTAGGCTTGGGTCTAATATATACTGTTTTCCTCCTATTTAACACTTATGGTTTATGTCAGGGGCTCTAAACCTTTAGCAAGCTAAAGATTAGCCCAGGGAGGTTGCTAAAATGCAGATTCTCAGGGCCCTCTCCCTAGACATCCGGGTCAGTGGGTCTGGGTGGGGCCCTGGATCTGCATGTTAACATTACCACAGGAGACTCCCATGTAAGTGCCCACAGACCACACTTTGCAAAACATTCATCCATCACTTAAGGGAACCCAGCTTTTTTTTTTTTTTTTTTTTTATATATAAAAGTGATAATCCTAGGTAGTACAGACTTGAGATCTGATGACTCCCCCCACACCCTACCTTTATAAACACCTATACTATGTTACATGCCTTACAGCGTGGTCCCCTGTGTACTCACCTTGCCTTCTCTCTCAGCCTTTGGAGAGTGAGATTCAAGTCTTCATCTAACCCAGTGCTCCACTGTTGTGAAATAAAAGTATGTGACAGAAACCAAAGCATACAGTTCAAATGTTACTCTCTTGGCTTAGGGATCAAGTTTCTCTGCCGGCTGTGTAAGTTCCTAGCCTTTTCCCCCCAGAGCTCAGCTCTGGATAAGCACAGGGCTAACCCCCTCGACTGCTGAATCTACAGGGGCTGTTGTTTAACTGAAAGATGTGTGTATAAGTCACTCTGGCAGCTTTCTGTGCCTTTCCAGGACCTCTGACGAGCCCTTTCCTCTGTGAATCTTAAAGTGAAAAGACCATCTGAAAAAGCGGCGGAGTGGGTTTTCCAGCTTAAAAGAATTTTTAAGTGTGATGGGAAGGGACGCACAGCGGCAGCTCTCTGCAACCCCCTGGTGGCAGGATGCTCCATGCATCCCAGCCCCACCCGCATCCCGGCTCTCACAGTGGACTCAACAGCAGAAGCTCATTAAGTGTCCCCAGCAGCAAGCCCAGGGAGCCCACAGATATTTGCTGGTTAATAGGTTATTAGTGTGAGTGGCAGGAAACAAAAACACACAGTTAGAATTTTACTTTCTTCTGCCCAACCGAGCATTACTGGCTCTACCAACTGTGTAACTTCCTAATTTTTTTTTTGTACAGCTAGTCAGCTTACTCTTAATGTAAAGATCGCCAGGGCTCAAAGCACAATCCTCAGAGCACAAAATATAAATGCCTCCGTCATCACTGGTAAGACTCCAGAGCTTTTCCAGAATTGTCATTCATCCTACCCAGACCTGGAGCCCTCCGTTCAAAGTGCTTGTCCCAGAGGCACGACTGAGACGGCTTAGCCTGAAGAACGGAGGGGACTGAGAGAGATGGCTCACAGCTGGAGGACCCTCAGCGTCCACCGAGATAGAATAAGCACACCCTGGGGTGGCGATTAGGGGGGCGGCTGAAGTTCTTTGGGTAAAGAGCTGCCTGGAAGAGACTGACTCTTGTGTCTAGATCAGGGGCGGGCAAACGAGGGCCACAATGGGTTCTTAAACTGGACCGGAGGGCCGGAACAAAAGCATGGATGGAGTGTTTGTGTGAACTAATATAAATTCAAAGTAAACATCATTACATAAAAGGGTACGGTCTTTTTTTTTTTTAGTTTTATTCATTTCGAACTGGCGGCCCGCGGGCCATAGTTTGCCCACGGCTGGGCTAGATTCTTCTTCTTCAGGAATCACTAGGAGGGACAAATTTAGTCAAGGAATAAATGCAGCCCTGCCCAAGACCGGGGGGCCATTGGACGGCATTCTGGGGTCTCTTCCAGCCCTCCAAGTAGAAGCTCTCTTAATAGCTCCTGAGAATGGGCAAGATGGGACAATGTGAAGATGAGCAAGAGCCAACGTACTTGTAAGATTCAGATAGAAATGACTTCACCCCTACACACAGCTCTCGTGGGGACTACACGCAGCTCTGAGGTTCAAGTTTTTTGATGACAGAGAAGCCTTTTAAGGAGGCTGCTTGCTGGGCTAATGGTCAGGGCCTGCGTGGAAATTCTCAGAGCAAAAGGCCTTTCTAAATTCTGGAAATCAAGATCGCACCTAAAGCTTAATGGTCTGGTCAGAATGGCAAACACATATAGTCCCTTCCTCTCTTCCCCGCCAAGCATTTAATTGGTTCACACCCCACTTTTCCTAGAAGTTAATCCTGGCATTATGCAACCTTTGAGAAGAAATGAGCAAGGAGAAATGACAAACAGTTCCCAGAAAATCCCAAGAAAGAGGGGCTTCGGGCAACCTAGGCTCTGCCTCATGAAAAAAACAGTGACATTTCCAAAGAGCACTAGTGGTCCACTCATAAGCTGTTCTCTTCTACACTTATAAGAAGTCTCTACCTTGCTGGGATTAGTCATTGAGTCCGATGTTCCTAATTGAGAGTTACAGGCACCTTGTTTTAGGGGAAAGTCTGAATTGTAGTCTTTTTTTTTTTTTTTTAGTTTTATTGCTTAAAGTATTACAAAGGGTGAATTATAGTCTTAAAATGCAAATTAATTCTGTCCTAGAACAATGCTCATTGATCAAAAATATTTCTTCTACCCTGGGCCTGTGTGGCTCAGTTGGTTGAGCGTCAATCAATGTTTCTATCTCTCCCTCCCCACTCCTCTCTCTCTCTAAAAATCAATAAAAACATATTTTTTAAAAATATTTCTTCCTTGAATTTAGCTTTTATAAAATGAAAAATCCCAAGTAAAATATCAGGAAAATGCCTGGCTGGCATGGCTCAGTGGTTGAGCATCAACCTGTGAACCAGGAGGTTGTGGCTGGATTCCTGGTCAGGGCACCTGCTCGGGTTTTGGGCTCAATCCCCAGTCGGAGTGTGCAGGAGGCAGCCAATCAATGATTCTCTCTGATCATTGATGTTTCTATTCCTCTCTCCTTCTCCCTTCCTCTCTGAAATCAATAAAAATATATTTAAAAAATATCAGGGAAATGAAGAAAGCCTTAATAAAATCAATCAGAAGACCAAATCATGCGTCTTCAACAGGGGTCCTCAACTATGGCCCATGGGCCACATGCGGCCCGCAGAAAACATTTATCAGGCCCGTTGGGTGTTTTTGCCACCACTGCCTGTTGCTTAGCAGCCGACTCCTCCTGGGCCCGCAGTGCGCATGTGTGGAATGTGCGCCGCACTCTCCGACTCCCCTCCTTCTCTCTGTCTCTCGACTCCTCCTCTCAGTCTTGGGTGTGATCAGATGAGTCAGGAGCTTGCCTGTGCAGACCCTGCTGCTGCCTGAGGACCGAGGTAAGAACAAGTTAGGGTTGTTTTTTTTTAAGTTAGGAGGTCTATTTTTTTTTTTCAGTTAGTAGGGCCTTTTTTTTTTGAAGTTAGGAGAGCCTTTTTCCAGAATGAAACATCTGAAATCTCTAACGAGATCTAGACTAACTGATGCACACTTGCATCACTTGTTACAACTAGCAGTGACAAATATGGAACTGGACATTGACCATCTCATTAGCCAAAAGCAGGCCCATAGTTCCCATTGAAATATTGGTAAGTTTGTTGATTTAACTTTACTTGTTCTTCATTTTAAATATTGTATTCGTTCCTGTTTTGTTTTTTTACTTCAAAACAAGATATGTGCAGTGTGCATAGGAATTTGTTCATAGTTTTTTTTTAAACTATAGTCTGGCCCTCCAACGGTCTGAGGGACAGTGAACTGGCCCCCTGTTTAAAAAGTTTGAGGACCCCTGGTCTTCAATATAATGAAAACTTGCATGTTTGGTAGGGATTCTATTTCCCATACTCTCTACAGATCCACTTTAGACAGAAGTCATGAAAGAAAAGACTTCCTTATGAGCTAAAGGGACTTTCTGCTCAATTGGCTGACTCTGTGGGACAGTCAAACTCCCAGTCAGCAAAGGGCTGGCAAGAGGAGCAATGCATAGCAGAGTTTTCAGCAATGGCTGAAACCCCTGGGGTTAGTTGGCCACAAAATGTGACAACTGAGAACATCTCCTCTGTACTCCTTCTATAACTAAACTTATCTCTCTCTATTACTGGACACGCTTACTTTATTTTGTCCACCACCCCACTCCTGGCCAGACTGTATGCTCGGAGAACTTGGGGTATGTCTGCTTTTCTCATTATCATATCTCAAGCACCTATCAGAGTGCTGGCATTCAATGAACAAAAGCTAACTTTAAATTGAGCTGAGATTCTGCTGTAATAAATAAATCAGGCAAAAATGGAAAAAAAATTAATAGTAAGGCCTCCATTACTTAATAATATCTCATAGATATTAAAGTTACTTTCATAGTATCAGAATTAATAACTGAATTCTGAAGTGGGAAATCTGCTGAGAAATCATTAATTGCTTAAAATCTTAAGTTTGGAAAACACTATTGCTTTAAAACTAGAGTCCTCTTACTCCTCAGTATGATCCATTAAAAAGTTTTTAATGGTTTCCTTTGCTCAATTTAAATGAACCCAAACTCTAACTCTGTACCGGAAGGAGAAGGAACACTGAAAGCAAACCTATTACCTCTATTTACAGTTTCTCACCAGAGGCCCACGGGCAGAGGCACTGCTTTCTCTAAACAGGAAGCCACCACGCAGCCAGCAAGTCTGGATTCCGCTTCCAGGGCTGCCCTCTGTACACACTCAAGAATTTTTTCCGGCTGACTTCATCATTAATAACTATTTATCAAATCTGCCCATATTGACTAGGTGAAATCTCACCCCACAGATCACCCAGGACTTTGTCTTCTCTCGTCTTCCTTCAAAACAGAAAGAAAAAAACAAAACTTTCAACTTAAACTTCCCAGGGGAAAAAAATGCCAGAACTATGAAAAGACTTACAGAGAACATTTACTTTTAGTGTACAGTCCCATGGACCTGACCATCACAACAAACAGCTGGCTATTTTCACAGTCAGCTCCCCAGTGCCTCTGTAGTGCTCTTAAACCATCTCTCAAAATCAGGACACAAACAGGTCTCCTCTCCAGTATGTAATTTTTATAATTGCATCAAATACACAGTGAGTATCTTTCAGGGAATTTCACCAAAACCAAAGAGAAGTTCAAAGATAAAACTGCAGCAGATCAGGGAAAACAGGTAGAACTGCGCGGTCACAGGACTAGCCTGTAAGCTGTCCTTAGTCTGGGGCACCTGAACAACCCCACAAGTCCACGGCCAAGGGCTAGGAGGGCCAAGGCGTGCAGCAGAGCTGCTCCTATCTCCCCTCCAGGGGTCTAAGCTGTAACTCGCGCTCTAACTGCTCTGCAGTCAGGGTGCCCTGGATGGCTTCGCAGCCTGGGTTGAACACAGAGTAGGCGCTTTTCTCTCCCTGCTTCTTCTCCCCGGGACCTCGTGTCCCGACATACATCCAGTAGAACAGGGACAGGACAAAATAAGCCAGGCCAAATTCCAGTTCCACAAACAGTCCCAGCAGGATCAACCAGAGAAGAACCTTCAAGAAGGTGATGCTGGTCAGGAAGGACTGGTCCCGCGGCAACGGTGGGGGAACGGCTGTCCTCCGTGGGGGCTGTGACGTGCTGCTCCCAGGCTGAGCGGCTTCCTAGGACACAAACAAGCAAAGGTAAACATAAAGGGTAATGAGGCTGAGAGGATGAAAACCAATCTGGAGAGGCAGCTCTCATTGTCCCCGGAAGGCTTCTGGCTCATTGATTTCTATTTCCTTGCCCTGCTCTCTAAAACAATCATCTCCCAAAGAGCTCTTGTGCCCTGCTCCGACCGGCCCCAAACCGGTCAGCACTTAGTGAGATGACCCGATGAAAACCCTACAGTACTCAGATGGGTTCCCTTTGTGGGAGGCACTTCCTCAGAGGAGTCTGCTGCTAACTAGAGCTAATGTGTGCCCCACACAGAAGCCCCCAGTCATTGGTAATGCAATAGCCACGCGTATGCTTCACACAGAATCGATATGGTAGTTGATTTGATTAGATGAGCTAAAATTTTGAGTGACATGATTCTAAAATGAGGACTACACCAGAAACAGGAAAGAAAACCCCCTCTACATATTAAAAAATAAAAATTGCTGTTACAGCTACAACCTTTCCATCCTATACATCCCCAGGCCAAGGCACTGCCTCCTAAGTGGACTCTCGCCTCCTATCTCTTCCCTCCCCACGCCATCCTGTGTACATACAGTTGCTAAATGAATCTCCTAAAACACCCATCAACCTCCTGTTCACAAGCCTTCAACAAATTTTTATTGCCTAGAGGTTAAAATTTAAACTCTTTGGGCTGCAATCCAAGGCCTTCCATTTATTCAACAGATAGAAATGCCAATACACAGGCCGCTGTGCTGGTGCTAACGGGAGACACGGGGATTTAGGCCATTTTAGGGAGCTGGGTCTCTACTCCGGTATTTTTTCCAAACCTCTTTGGGTTTGACCTAGAATAAAAGATACATTTTACACTGTGACCCAGCATGCATGTATATGTATGTATATGTATATGTATATGCATGTGTGCATGTGTATATGTATATGTAATAGAAAAAAGTTTCACAAATCAACAAATATCTTCACATCATATGAAGCTGTTATTTTCTATTCTATTTTTTATTTTATTTTAACAGAGGACTGGATTTCTCTAAATTGATGTCACCACTTACTAAAGGGTCATGACTTACCATTTGAAAAACAGTCTAAAAAGTTTCCTGCACAGCACAATCTGCAACTGTACAAATGAACCCTCTACTCCAGTTCCACGGGTCTCACTGCCGAGGCCATTGCCCGTCTGGCCTGGAATCGCCTCTGGTCCTCTCCCTGCCTCGGCTCCTTGCCTTCCTTCCAGGCAGGCGTGACTGGTGCGCTGTGCATGCCTCGACCTTCTCCACCACTGAGAAGGTGCCCTCAGCCTTCCGAGCACCGGCTGGCTCTTTCTCACTGAGCACCAAACTGTTCAGCTAGTGTCTTTTTTATTTGTTTTAGTAAGTTAAACTCACAAACAAAACAGAAACAGACACAGATACAGAGAACAGACTGACAGCTGTCAGGGGCTGGTGGAAAAGGTGAAGGGAATAAGCAAAGAAAAAAAACTCATGGACACAGGCAGCAGTATGGCGATTTCCCTGAGGGAAAGGGCGAGGGGGTAGGGGGCAGGAGAGGGTAAAGGGGGGTAACTGGTGATAGAAGGAGACTGGACTTGGGGTGGTGAACAAACAGTACAATAATACGCAGATGACTATTAAAAAGAAATTGTCTCAAAAAATAATAAACCCGAGGTAAAATAATACTGAAGTATCTTTTTTTTATCCTTTCCTGAGGATATGATTATTGATTTTAGAGAGAGGGGAAAAGAGAGAAAGAGATAGAGATAGAGATAGAGATAGAGATAGAGAGAGAGAGAGAGAGAGAGAGAAGCATCGATGTGAGAGAGAAACATCAATTGGTTGCTTCCCATACTCGCCCTGACCGGGGATCAAACCTGTAACCTTTTGGGTGTAGGGGACGAAGCTCCAACTAACTGAGCCACCTGGCCAGGGCTGAAGTGTCTCTTAATATAGGTCACCTGTATCCCTAGATTGTCACCATGAAGATACAGACTGCCATATATTATCCTTGGTTGTCTCCAGAGCCAAACAGCACCCACACATAGGTTCTCAATCCACAGAAGAACTTTTAGTTCATTTCTTCAGTTATATCTCCTCTTCTTCACTTCATTTTATTTTTTTAGGATGTTCTTTTTTTTTTTCTTCACTTCATTTTAAAAGGGATCACAACTATATTTGGTCTCAATAAAATATGCAGATCACCCTGGCCAGGTGGCTCAGTTGGTTGGAGCATCATCCTGTACACTGAAAGGTCACTGGTTCAATTCCCAGTTTGGGCACATACCTGAGTTGTGGGTTCGGTCCTGGTTGGGGCACGTGCAAGAGGCAGCCAAAAGAAGTTTCTCTCTCACATTTCTCTTTCTTCCTCCCCTCCCCTCCCCTCCTCTTCTCTCTCTCTCTCTCCTCCTTCCTTTCTCTCTAAAAATCAATAAAAACATGTCCTCAAGTGAGGATTGAAAAAAAATACAGATCATCTGATTTATATTGCTTCAGAAATTCTATTTTGTTAGACCCTTCTTTTTTTAACATCAATACTGTAATTACCTTTTCAGTAAAGGCCCTTAACATATCATCAGCAAACACCCCACTCCAACAGACATTTATTAAATAGAAAAAGGTCCCTTTCTGATTTGACAGTGTACACAATAGGGAAATCCCTCAGGTCTTAGTGGGAACTAATATAATCAATTTATATTTAAGACTACTCTGGCTGCCAGGTAGAGAATGGGCTGCGAGGGTAGACGTAGGGAAATTGTTAGTAGCAGGGGGCCCAGTAAGAGAGGACCAGGCAGAGATTAAGGTGGTGACCCAGATGTCAGAGAGAAATGATGGACTGATGGATACAGAATACATTTTGAATGTGTATGACTTGAAATTCATAGCAAACTGAATTTTACTATTGAGGGAGTATAAAAATAATGCTTGCACCATCATTTATTTATTGAGTGCCTTCAAAACGCCTGATCTCCTGTAATCCAGGCAGGCACTGGTATTCCCAATTTACTGGTAAGGGATCACTGAGACCGTAAGTAACTCCCCTCAAGTCACACACCAGGTGATAGGCAGAGATGAGGCTGGTCTGGGATCTGAGAATGGTCTCCCTCCAAAACTCGCATTACTTCCTTAGGAGCCTTTGTGGGGGATGGTAAAGGGGAGGGTAAAGAGCTAGAAGAAGTCGGGAAGATTAAACGAACTGGCAAAGGGACAAAGAAAGGAGAGGAAGGGTATGGGACGTCCTCAGCCTCGCTTGGCCTTTGTTCCAGTTGCAGGGCACCTTCTGTTGTGTGGCAGTGGGAGGGTTTGTGGTCTCACAGCACGTGTCAGCAGTTTAGGGAAGATGCTCCCATTCCCCAATACCAAGCCGCTTCCCACCTCCAGGCCTCTGCACTTGGACTAGTAGTTCCCTCTGAGACAAATGCCTGTCCCCTCCCGTCACCTGGCTGGCTCCCTCTGCTCCCATACACCTCAGCAAAAACGTCACATGTGGCCTGGCCTTGTCCCCAGGTTTCTGCACGAGTGGCTCCTTCTTATGAAATGCCACCTCCTGGTGAGGTCCTGCCTGCCTACCCAATTTAAAGCAGCACTCTGCACCCCTCACCCCAGTTCACTAGCACAGTGTCTGCTCCTCATTCCCCTTTCATAGCATTCACCGTTCTCTTCTTTCACTGTCTCCTCTCCAAAAGCTGGTTCTGTGAGAGCAGCGTTTTGTGTGTCGCTTTCACAGTGTCCCCCCAGATTGAGGGCAGTAGCTGGAACACAGTGGGCACATGACAGGATTTTGCTGAGTGGTGGTGAGGGAAAGGAAGACACAAAAAGGTGACTCCTGGGCTGATGCAAAGACTGTGCTTAGCCAGGTGACTCCAAAGGAAAAGCACATCTGAGCAGTGGGCCAACCTGAGCCAAGGGTTGGAGGTGAGGAGTTACAAGCCAGGTGTGGGCAGTAGGCCCTGGACTAGACGGTGCCCTGTGGCTGGTGGGGGATATGCCTGGGAGAGAGGCAGGGGGTTTCTAGAGGATTAAAAAAAGTTACAAGCATTTTTGTCCTATTGTGGCAGAAGGTTGTCACAGAAAGGAAGAAATTTGAGAGTGGGGGAAGAAGGATGTGCTCGCTTCCTTATCAATGACTACTGAAAATTACAAATAGAAGGCTTAACACATTGTTTGCGGGTAGTTTTTATCGCGCGCTAACAGGTGGCGCGGGCCATTTTTGCTAATTTTTTGCACAAATGGCAACGTTTAGTAAAATTACGATAACTTTAATTTACGTATTTATACGTTACCCGCATTCTACCGCTAGTCTATAAAAAACGTATTAATACGTGTCCCGCGCTCTACTACACTGGTAGAACGTATAAATACGTAAAACGTGTAAACACGTTTCCCACATACAATGTGTTAAGATATCTGACATGCCACTGTGTGCCAACAAAATTATTAGGCAGAGATGGATTATAAATTAGAAAAAAAAAATGTAATGAGAATTGTCACACCAGAGTAACCCCAGGAATGATAAGTGAGTGCATGAAAATGAGCTTAGGACAGAAACAGCTTGATTAATAAGAACCAACTGCAGGTCCAGCACTTCCTCTCATCCTGTGGTCAGGCCACCAGCTTTTGGGTTTTTAACAGCAGAAGCTTTCCCCAAGTTCAGATTTTCTGGGTCCAACCCAATGACCTCATATTCGTCTGATAATGAGACATACGGTCAGAAACTCAATGTGTGGATTAGACATCGTTTTTTAACTGCAGGGAGAAAAAAGGGTAGGGAAGTGGATTCTAAAAATCTTAAGTAATTGTGCTCAGGGGGTTCTAATTGACAATAAAGTTACCCTGAGACAAACTGCATGCTAGGAAATAGATTGTTTGAACCCTAGAGCACCTTTTCTGGGAGTCCGTTAGAACCCTGCCTGTCATGGAGAACATATCAAACTTAAGTAACAATTCATGATTTTTTTAAAAATTCCCTAAAACCAGATGTTGTGGCCCTAGCCGGTTTGGCTCAGTGGATAGAGCATTGGCCTGCAGACTGAAGGGTCCCAGGTTCAATTCCAGTGAGGAGCACGTACCTCGGTTGCAGGTTCCTCCCCGGCTCAGGCCTTGGTTGAGGCTCAAGCAGGAGGCAACCAATCAATGTGTTTCTCTCACATCGATATTTCTCTGTCTTTCCCTCTCTCTAAAAATCAATGGAAAAATATCCTCAGGTGAGGATTGAAAGAAAACCCAACCAGATGTTGTGCAATAATAAATGAACTTAATATAACAAAAAATTAAGGGAGTAAGGTACACTTCTGCTCCAGAACATTTTAAATTTCAAAAGGAATTTTTGGCTCTTATTACACATCTGAGGTACAAAGGCCATGCCACAGATGGTCTCAAAGCACTGATTTTTCCCTTGCTGTTTTGTCCTGTATTCCCCCTTAGGTACTCCAATCTCATGTGCAGCTCACCTGGCCACTTTATTCATGAGTGAAAACTAGAGAAAGATACAGGGATGTGAATTAAGTTCATCTGCAGAATAAGAGCTACCAAAAGGATTAAAAGGCGAGAACGCTACCATACTGAATACTGTTTTCACCTTCAACATTCAGTATTGAACGTTTTGCTAGTCTAGTTCAATGGCAGCGCACAAGGGCATGCCACCTCTGGCAGTTACAGCCACCACACTTTTGCAAGTTTTGTATTCAAACGTGGGTTACTGGCTGCATGTGATTCAGGTGCAAAGTCAAATGAAGCCTTAATTGCTGCCACTTTTTCATCAGCATCTAATTAGACCTTTCACCCTCCATTAGCGGAGGGCTGTGGCTCAACACGGTTGTGGAGAGGTTTCTGAGCGCCACAGGGTGTCACAACGATAACTCAACTCCTTGTTAATAACTCAAGGGCAGAGGAGCTTTCTTCCAGGACCCCAGACCGGAGGCTTCCAATGACTTTCAACAGACTTTCAACGGGGAGGACGAAAGGTGGCGGCAAGAATTTTTTCAATGCAATACCTGACTACTTAGGGGCACTGACCTCTTTCCCCTTAGATTGTAAAATTTTAAAAATGACGCCAAAACCTGTTTGGCTCAGTGGATAGAGCGTCGGCCTGTGGAAAGGTGCCGGGTTCGATTCCGGTCAAGGGCATGTACCTGGGTTGCAGGCACATCCCCAGTAGGAGATGTGCAGGAGGCAGCTGATTGATGTTTCTCTCTCATCAATGTTTCTGGCTCTCTATCTCTCGCCCTTCCTTTCTGTAAAAAAATCAATAAAATATATTTTTTTAAAAAAATGGCCCTGACAGGTTTAGCTCAGTGGATAGAGCGTTGGCCTGCAGACTCAAGGGTCCCAGGTGCGATTCCGGTCAAGGGCATGTACCTTGGTTGCGGGCACATCTCCAGTGGGGAGTATGCAGGAGGCAGCTGATTGATGTTTCTCTCTCATCGACGTTTCTAACTCTCTATCCCTCTCCCTTCCTCTCTGTAAAAAAATCAATAAAATATATTTTAAAAAAATGACAACAGCCAACACAACAACAGCCTATCTGTTGTGAATGAATCAAAATTACACCTTTTTTGTCAGATCGGCAAAAACATGTTTTTTGGTGTACCACAGAAGTTTAGTAATTGTGTGCCATGAGGTGAAAAAGAATGAAAATCGCTGTCCTAGACCTTCGCTTCCCACCTGGAATCAGGAGCTGCAGGAAAGAAGTTGTCAAATCCACTTATCACTGGGGTGACAAAGGGACCAAGGCCCAGCCCGGGAGCAGGTGGGAGGCGCCTGAGGCCCCGCCCCCTCCAGCGGAGGCCCCGGCGAAACCAGAGGAGGCGTGGCCTGTGGGCCAGGGCGTGTGGGCGGGGCCGCTCCTCCACCCCGAGTCTGCTCCTCACGGGGGCGGGGCCTGAAAGGCACCACGTGGTGGAAGGGGCGGAGCCTCAGCTGGAGTTTCCAGAGGAGCCACGACAGCGGCCCCGAAGCCAGGTCCCCGGCGAGGCCTCCCTTCTCTCACCTGAGCGAGGCCGGGCTGGGCCGGGGCACTCGCGGGCCTCGGTCTCCACACCAGGAACCGTCTTAGCCAGCCTGGGGCTGACTTTGGAGTAGCAGTTGCTTCCGCCTTCTCTCCCGAGGTTTGTGCGCTCTGCCTGCAAGTGCTGGGTTCGGCCGCCAGCCCGGCCCGTTTCCGGGCCTCTCGGAACTCGGCTAACCGCTGTTCCATGGCGCGCGCCTCGCTTCCTGGGAGCCCGCCGGGAACCGGCGCTCGCGCAGCCCGGCGCCGGGCCGCAGTGCGCCTGCGTAGCGCGGCTGGGTGCTGAGCGTGCGCACTGGGCGCCGGGCTCCAGCGTGCGCCGGCTTTGTGACGTTCCGTGGGCTGTCTGTGCTGATGCCGCTCCAAACGCACGTGGATGCGTGCGGTGTCCACCTGCTCGGGCACATTGTGAAGAACCTAAAGCGTAGGACTGCTCCATCCTTCCTCTCTCTAGCCCCAGGCTCCTGTGGCGGGGGGGGGCGGGGGGTTGCTCTCATGTGCTCCATCTCACCTCGGGATCTGCTCCCCAACAGGCGAAGCTTGCTGTAGCAGGGGCCAGGTTGAAAAAGGTGGTTCTAATTGACAGTAAATTCCAAATTTACTATCACATTCCAAATGCACCACAAGGTGTCTTACATGATCTTTGTCCTACAAAGTAGTTTAAATTCCTTCCCCCACTCTCAAATTTCTTCCTTTGTGTGACAAGCTTCTGCCACAATAGGACAAAAATGCTTGTAAGATTTAAAACTTATTGGGGTGCAGCTTAAAATGAAATACACAAATCTGTAAGTGTATGGCCCAATACGTTTGTAAGTACGTAAATAGAACGTTTCCGGCGCCCTGAGGGTCCCCTGTGCCCTCTCCTAGTCACTCCTCACCTTCCAGAAGTTCACAATTCAGGTCAGGGACTGCTAGGTATACTTTTAAAGCTCTAAGCATCTAGTTCAGTGCCACTTACATAATTGAGACTCACATATTTCTTGGATCTTGCTGAGTTTGAGTCAAGCAATGAAAATTAGAATGGGGTCTTTTGTTCATTCAACAAATATCAAGAGCTTGCTTTGTGCCAGGTATTGTACCTGGCGCTGGAGATGCTGGAGTGAACAAAATCAACGTATTTTCTCCGTGCTTACATTCTAAGTGGAAAGACAGACAACCAGATGCATAACTGCCTATTTACATTCATTGCTATGTCAGTGCTGATTAGTGCTCTGAAGAAGAGTAAAGTCAGGAACAGGAATGGCGGCGCTGTTTGGAGCCAATGACCAGAAACGACTTCGTTGAGGAGTTGCTGTTGGAGCAGAGCTCTGAATGAAATGAGTGACACCTTCAGATATCTGGAGAATAGTGTCTTAGGGAAAACAGCAAGTGCAGAGATCCTGGGACCTCAAGTAGTATGCTTGACCTGCTCCCAAAACATCAGGGAAGCCAAGAGAACTGGAGGAGAGGGGAGGTGGGAAAGAATGATAGAAAATAAAGATGCACAGGTATCGAGGGCCTGATCATGTAAGACACCTTGTGGTGCATTTGGAATGTGATAGTAAATGACTAGAGGATTCTGAGCAGGAGATGACATAATATGACTTTTTTTAAGAATTGATTTCCGATAGAGGAAAGGAGAGAAAGAGAAACATTGATATGGGAGAGATACATCAATTGGCTGCCTCCCGCATGCACCCTGACCGGGGATAGAACATGCCCTGACCGGGATTCGAACCCGCCACCTTTTGGTGTGTGGGACGATACTCCAACCACACTAGCCAGGGCTGACATTTTTAAAGACTTGCACTGGCTGCTGGAGGTGGAGCCATGGAATAGTGCAAATGTAGGAGGGAAAATACAGTAATATAAGAGAGACTGTGACTCTTGGGGCTAGAGGGGTAGTGATAGAAGTGGTGAGAATTGCCAAATTCTGAACATATTTTGAAGATTTGAACCAGCATAATGTGCAGATGGATTGAATGTGTAGTGTGAGGAAAATGAATCAAGGATGATGGATTTTTAGAAAAAAGCGGGGGGGTGGGGGAAGGATGACAGATTTTTGCCACACGCCCATCCCACACACACCCTAAGCAACCAAATGATTGATGCTGGGACCCCCTCCTGAAATGGGGGAAGATCAAGAAGAGAGGATTATGGAATAAAGATAGATAGTTTTATTTTGGACATGCCAAAAGTTTGAGATGCCTATTGGACATCCAATGCAGGCAATTGGATAGTAAAAACTAAAATTCAGGGAAAAGTCAGGACAGGAGATACATATTGGGAGTCATTAGCATATATATATGTTATTTAAAGCTGTGAGACTAGATGAGATAACTAGAGAGTGAGTGTGGATAGCAGAGAAGATATTTTAGGACTGAGACCTGAATAATTAGCGATAGTTTGTAAGACAGGAAAGAATGTGGTCATTATACTATGATGACCTCTCATTGAGCAATCACAGAGAAAATTTCTTGCCCATCTTGGTGTCAGGAGTAGGTCTGCTTTGCTCTCTCTCTCTCTTTCTCTTTGTTTTTTACAGTTTATACATTTATTCTAGAAATCCCCTTTCAGTGTCTTGCGCCCAGATCTGTTGGTACAAAAAGAAAGGTTATCAGGAAAAGGGGGTAGGTGGACCCCCAACTCCAGGAAGTCACAGACAGGTATCATAGAAAACACAACTTGTGTAGATTTGTTTAAATAGTGATGGAGCCCTAGGCGGTTTGGCTCAGTGGATAGAGCATTGGCCTGCGGACCAAAGGGTCCTGGGTTCGATTCCGGTTGCAGGCTCCTCCCCGGGGTGGGCGCTGGTCGGGGCTTGTGCAGGAGGCAGGCAATCGATGTGTTTCTCTCACATGAGTGTTTCTCTCTGTCTTTTCCTCTCTCTTCTGCTCTCCCTAAAAATCAATGAAAAAATATCCTCAGGTGAGGATTAAAAATAAAATAAAGTGTGATGGAAGGAAAGCCAAGGAAGATGAGCCAGGCATCACCTAGGATTTTACTGGCATCCTCCAGGTGCCGGGTTCCACCACGGCAGCATCCCAGGACACAGCACGTGCAGTGGCTCTGTCGTTCAGCCCTCCTGTGGGGCATCCAGACTGAGGATAGTCAGGGCAGAGACTGCTGCCAAAGGCTGGGCCATCTTACCCTGCAGATAGAAGAAGTGGGCACAGAGAGGCAGTAGATCTGCTTCTCTTAAAGGATTAGAGAGTCTCTCATTGATTGTGTTTCCCACTGGATAATCACACTGAGACCTTGGAGCTGTATTTATGGTCTCCTTCTAGTAGGCATTAGACTTAAGGCATACGATTTGTGGCCTGTTGCAATCAGGGTCCCTGACAGGAAACATGGCATCTTTAAAAGGGTTACCTAAAGAGAATTTCATGAAGAAGTTAAGTTACAAACGTATGGAAGGATTAAGGAAGCCAGCAAGGGATGGTTCACAGGAAGTGTTACCAGCCTCTAGGCCTTACGCAGAAAGAGGACAGAGTCATCATCAGAAACCAGAAAGACCTGTAGCTATAGGAGAAACTGGAGACAAGAGAGCCCTTAAAGGAGCAGAGGGCCGGAGGAAAAGGGTGGGGGGAGAATCTAGAAGAGCAAATGGGGAATATCCAGCCAAGTGCAATTGTCATCCCAGCTCCCATCTTGCTCTGGTAAACTTTATTTCCCCTTTGCTTTGTTTTCTGATTTATTGTAAATTTATTTTTTTCTCAATGCTTTGTAAACCTCTTTAAATTCTTTTTGGAAGAGGTTGAAAGAATGGGAAAAAGTAGAGATGATCATGAAAAAACAACTCCTACTGAACTAACTTCATTTCCTTTTTGGATAAGGTTATGAGACTAGTAAATAAGCAGGGTCTCAAAGTGTACTTATAATGTGTAAATTTAATTTTTATTATGAAATATTTTGTACATAACAAATTATGTGTATACATGTATATCATATTTGTAAGTTGTAAGTACTAAAATACCTATATACCGGTGATATTCAGTCTTTGGCCTCAATTTTTCACTCTTCCTTACATCCATGCCATAAGGAAACCAGCAAGGGATGGTATATAAGGACAGAGTATATTTCCCCATTCCTTGACTTTTTTTTTTTGGTTAACCCTCACCTGAGGATATTTTTTACATTGATTTTTTGTGGGTTTTTTTGTTTTGTTTTGTTTTTTAGAAAGTGAAAGGGGGGCGGGGAGGAGAGAGAAAAACAGCAATGTGAGAGATACACATTGATTGATTGTTTCCCCCATGCGCCACGACCGGGGCTGGGGATTCAGCCTGCAACCAAGGTATGTGCCCTTGACCAGGCTCAAATCTGAGACCCTTTAGTCTGCAGGCTGATGCTTTAACCACTGAGCCACACTGGGTAGGACCCTATTTGAACTGCACCTTTCAGGTTGCTTTGGCCGATGGGATGATGGCCGACGTTATGCAAGCAGGGGCATGAAATGTGTTTGTCCTGTTGGGGGCACCCTCTGAATACTTTGCACTGCCATGAGATGAACTTGCAACAGCTAGCCACCTGGTCCAAGAATAATGAGTCACATGGATATAGTCACCCAGCTGACCTGCAGACCTGCAGTTTAACGCTGATCTGCCCAGCTGAGCCCAACCTGAAACAGCTGACCCCAGCTTACCCAAAAATGTATGAAAAATAAATGCTTATTTTATATCACAGAAATTTTGTGGGTTTTTTTGTTTACACAGAAAAGGGTAACCAATACATAGTCACTACTCAAGAAAAAGAATGTTTCTTTGTGTGCCTGTGGTCCATTCCTGAATACTTCCCACCCCTTCAATCTATTAATACAGTGAGTAACTTTAATAGATTTTCTATTAAACTACCCTACATTCTTGGAATAAACAAAACTCAGTGACTTTATTTCTTTTTAATCTTTATTGTTGAGAGTATTACAGATGTCCCTCTTTTTTATCCCCATTGCCTTCCTCCACCCAGTTCCTGCCCCACCCCAGACCTTCACCATCTTATTGTCTGTGACCATAGGTAATGCATATATGCATATAAGTTCTTTGGTTAATCTCTTCCAGCACCTCCCCTTCTCTCTTCACTGTGAGGTTCATTAGTCTGTTCCATGTTTCCAGGCCTCTGGTTCTGTTTTATTCATCAGTTTATTTTGTTCATTAGATTCCTTGTTTGTTTATTTTGTTTTTTAGATTCAATTATTGATAGATATGTATTTATTGCCATTTTATTGTTCATATTTTTCCCCTTCTCCTCCTACTCCTCTTCTCTCCTCTTCCTCCTCCTCCTTCCTCTTCTTAAAGA